TGTCTGAAATCACTTTTTCTATACCTTAAATTTTAAATTAGTTGCGGTGAAGAAACAGAATTTGTGATGAAAAGTTTCTCCTACGGCATAGTGTCCTAATAAGGCTTTTTTTTTTTCTTTGAAGGCTCCTTCGTCATGTGAAATAATGCTTTTTGGCTTTTTTCATAACTGCTGTGAGTTGGCAGTAGTTACTAATGACTGTTAGGTGAAGTTTAGCCTATCTAAAGCAAGCGTTGTCTATGCCCATTCTGAAAATGGCGCAAAATGTCAATATGGAGAAAAGTCAGAGTTTTGTTAAAATGAAAAGCGTTTGTGATCTAATATTTTAATATTTAAAGACTTACTCCAATGCTGCATTATCTGTGCTCAAAGAAATTTGCAAAATATGAGAATAAGACAGTAATTTTGGTCATTTTCCTCTAGGTGGAAAAAGGACACTAAAAATTGGAGATTTTTAAAAAAGTTTCATAACTCTTAAAATATTTAAGTTTTTTTTCCTTTTTAAAGACCATATAATTCTTTACGGCAAGATGATATATGTAGTTTAGAATCGTCGCTTTGCATCGATTGCAAGGTACTTAAACTGTAGCTTTTTCAATGTCCTTGAAGACAGGTCCTCGAAAAACCATGTTAAGAATTTCATATTTTCCTTTGCTGCAGCAATAAATATAAAGCAATAGATATAAATATCCTTTATATTAGTCCCTGGTTGCAGCTTCTGTTAAGACACCTCTACCATCACCTGCTCTACCCACAGCATCTTGGAGTTTAGGTCAAATTTTTGATTTTCCTTTTATTGAAGTTTTTTTGTTCTTAGCAAACTTGTGATGATATAGTATTATTTGGCATATCAATCTTTTGGCTATTACTCAATCTTTCATAAAAGGTGGAAAATAAGGGAGTCGCTTTATTAAATTAAGAGGAATAGAACTTGACAATTAGTAGAACCTTATGAAATTTTCCTCTGAACTTTAATGCAATACAAATCTATGATTTACACTTGTGAATCCTTAATTTAAAACTATACATTTGTCAGTATTATATGAACTGAAATTTAAATTTATTACAATTGAAACTGATGAAAACTGATTTGATTTTTTTTACCTCATAACGCAAATTGCGCAAAAAAAAAAATCATCAAAAATTTTAAACAGGCAAATGTATACCTACTATTTAACTACCTTTCTTAAAAACGTACGATTGCAAAACTGTATTCTGTCGAAAAAAATAAAAGATAATCTAAATTACGGCATACTTTATCTATCAAGTTCTTATTAGAGGAATGTCTTGTATTTTACATTTAACGAAAAGTACTGCCGAAGTAAGTAAATATCCAACACCTGTCTATTTGACAAAATTAAAGAGGATTAAAATCTTATTTAGAATTTTCTCTCCACGTCTCAATCTCTTTTAAAGTTGAGTTCGTTCGCGGGGAGAAAGGTCTCTTAACAAGCTCTGGTCTAGAAATTTCCGATTTTCGGAAACCACATTCAAGTGAAATCATATAGCGTGGTCAGAAAAAATATTTCAATTGAAACTGTTAATTAAATTTCATTTTATGGGGAGATTAAGTGCAAATATACATATCCCCACTGCAGAGGAGCAAAATTGCGATAGCATATCCTCAGGGATGTTTCCCAGATCGTCGTCAATAGCCTTTTGTGCAGCTCTAATACAATGTAAATAAAATACCTACCAGAAAATATACGTTTCTTTCAAAGAAAATTTGATTTCTGTAATGTGTTATATACTGCTATTAATAAAAATACTTCTTAATTATTCCATTTTAAATTAAATTTAATTAAAGAATTCAATTTTACTAATAATGAAATTCCGTTCAATGTCTTAAAATATGTATTAAATGTGGCAAACATAGTATTTCTTTTAACGTAAAGTCTTTACATCTTTTTTTTCCACTTATAAACCGCAATATGCACCTATGAAATCAGCCATCAATGTTTAAAATGCAATAAATGGTTACTCTTTTATGCTCTGTAGGTAAGAGACAAAAGTTATCTGTTGATCATCAGATAGTGATCATCATTTTGAAATGGTCACGCTATGGAGAGCATTTAATCAAGTACAAGGCCGGCTTGGTTCAAGGCTTCCTCTTAGTTGTGAAATTTTGTATTGAATTTTATGTCGGATATTTACGTGAATATACTGTGATTCCTTTTAAATATTAGTTTAAAAAAATCCTTATTCAATCGGTTTTATTGAGTTTTAGCTTGGATGACAGATATTTTACGCTGGTTTCAGTTTTTAAATTCAATGATATTCCCTAATATTGATCAATATTCCCTAATATTAAGCATTATATTGGTGAACTACTTGTTTTGGACAAAGCTCAAAATATTTGGTTAAGAATATGCGCTTAACTTCATATAAGAGCTTGAGAAAATGGATATATATCTCAAAATACACGTTTTCTTTCTGATCAAAATACAAAATTCTTCATAGTGTGAGCTATTAAAAATATTACATCATAATCAAAATAATTTTAACTTGAAAATTTTGGTTAATAAAAAGCAACATTAAATATTTTAGATTTTTAAATAGCTTTATAATTATCGCAGTTTTTGAAACAAAACAGAGTGATTAAGGGAGGAATTGACTTTTTACAAATCGCACTACACTGTAAAAATTCGTATCTAATTACGGTAAAAAGTATACCCTCAGGATGCCAGTAATTTTTACCCTAAAATCCATTTTACCAGAACATGTTACGTAACAAACAATCAGATGTGCAGTAATTTTTACTGTAATGATTACCGTAAAATCACCTAATTAAATCAATATTTCTCTAAAAATTACGGTACATAATTTTGTGGTAAAATTTATTTTACGGCTGATGCTCCCAAAATGCCGGAATTTAGTAACGTAATTTGATCCGGAATTTTCTACAGAAAGAAGAAACTAGTGAATATTTGTATGATTTTTCTTCATGCAAAAATATGTTATTTTGAAAGGAAAAAAAAAACTCTCAGATGCGGCACCCTTTTTGAGTATTTTAGCCACCTACTGCGTCACCCTCTGTGAAGTAGACAGTAAACCAATGAAAACACGGATAATGACTTTGGTCTGATGACCTCTAACAGAAACAACTGAGATTCATGACTGATGTATGTATGTTAGAAGAGAAATGACTTCGCTTAAAAATAATTCGATTAATCAAAGAAAAATATGTGTCTTTTGTAGAGCTCTTATTTAAACATTACAAGATTTCAAATTTATGAAAGCATCCTATTTATTCTACATTTTGCATAATATTAATAATGAACTGCAATTAAGACGCTCATTTGCTTTCGGTATTTTCTTTGAAATTAAAAAATATATAAGTATTTTTATCTATACTGCTTTACTATTGTATGTAAAGTTATTATTTTAACAGTTCCTGTTTGGATATAATAAAAAATAATTTTTCTATTCTATAATGATGAAAATAAATAATATTTAAAATAAATCGAAGAAATACGCTATATAATAATGACATTTCTAATAAATAAATTTAAAAAAAAACATAATTCTCGTAAACTTCGGTATTTAAACCATGCATTTGGCAATCACACATTTTCAGTTCAAATGGTAACGATTGAACGGAAATTTTGGTTCTTAAGATCTAAGTTCTTATTACCACACATTTAGCAAAAAAATACAAAACTGAAAAGTAAGTTTAACCCAAAAAATGGTTTTTATGCGATGCTTTAAGGTATAGTAATAAAATTACCAAATTTTACCACATTTTCCAAATTTTATCTCAGATTATGCAATCATAGTTTATTTTTAGTTTTACCAAAATCAATAGGAAAGCTTGCGGTTAAAGTGATGTAGATTTTTTTTGTTTCCTATACATCCAGAAACATGGTAAATTTTATGATATTCTGTTAGTTTTGATCTAACTTTTTTCTCAATGTTGAAACTAAACCTTGCAGTAGTTTTTGTTCTAACTGATATAAAAATAAGAACTTATGATGCTCATGAACAAAAAAACTCATAAAAAATGAAAAGAACTTATAATGCATTTATGAATAATAAAAATGTATGTAAGCAAATCAAATTTGTAAAAAAAAAGAGTAAATGAATCGGTTATTGGTATCAAAACATACCTGGTCTGGTAATAAACAATGCTACAAAATGTAATTAAAAATAAAATTTAGTAAATTTCTAATACTTTTCTTTAAAATTTGCTAATACTGTTGTTAGTAAATTGATTATATTTTAAAAATGTTACAAAAACGGTAATTTAATGATGCTTAGGAGAAGACTGTTTTGAAACTTACATCTTAAAATAAAAATAAAAAAGGTATTTTGAAAGTATAATTCAATGATCATCCTCATTATTCTTTACTGAAACACATATTAGAGTTTCATTCACATTGAACTTTTATTCTTTATTGAACTTTAATTTTTCATTGATTTTTAATTAAAACGTATATTGGTTTAAACTTAACAAACAATTTTTATTACCTTTTTATGCTATTCCTTAAATTGAATATTAAAACTGTAAATTTAACTTCATTTACTGTAACGATTAAAAGTTTTGTATGCAGGAAAGTGCTTAAAAATTAATTCTTCTAATTTATAACTGTGTTTGATTGGTTTATCGGAACGCCTAACATACTTTTATTCGCATCCAATTTCATAAAAAAGTTAATAAGAACAAAACGTACTTGTGTAAACTAGTTATTATTTTATCTCACTGTAGACGAAAAAGCGCTTCTTAGAATATATGCATTTTTCTTTAAATGTATCAATATTTAATTCAGTTTATGGCAAAACATTAAATACTATTAAAGCTACGTTATAATTTAATTCTCAGAAAGGGATATAAATCATGAATGTAGTTCTTGCCAAAGAAGTACAATTTTAAAATTTCTTTTTAACAATAATTAAATAAACTTAAAAACACTGATTTGTATTTCCACGGGATCCTTTTCCAAGATGAAGAAAAAAATGAAGTTCATGGGGGTATTAAAGAAAAAGAAAAAATAATAAAAATCACAAGTTAACGTTTCGTCTTATTGGTCCGTAAATTCTCACCCATTGGCCGACTGAACAAAATAAAGAAAGAAGTTCTCAGGGCGGGACAAAAGGTAAGGTGAGGGTGGGGGAGAAGAGATGAGCTAAAAGTTACGGATTTCCCTTTTCAACCAGGTATAAGTCCACAGGTAGCCAGAGCATCAAGGTCATAACGATACACCTATCGCTTCTGATTTGAGTCGGTTTGGAATTTCTTCCCATCTTTTGTGAGATGCGCCGTTATTTCTAAGCCATCCCTTCGTGTTTCGCCGACACCACGTGCTATTTCTGGTCTTTGAAACATTCTCATCTTGATCGCCTATATGTGTTCCAGTTTTATGACGGTTTTTTCGTTTCATGTGATGCCTGCTCAACATTTTTGAAGAACAGACATTATTTATATAAAATATTCGAAACATTTATTTTTCTATCGTGAGGTTTATCAATAATATCTGTTCAAAGATTGATCTAGTTTGAACTGAAATAACTTTTTTCGAAAATATATTATGAGGACATTTTGAGTCACCTTCAATATAAAAAAAAATTGCATTCAAGTATCATTGCTCAGAAAAAAAATGAGCTCCTTTCTGAGTTTCCTAAACAAACCAGACTTATACTCGTTGGACAATTACGGGCCACTAGATAACTCATCGATGAAACCATTTAGAGATTTGGACAATTTCAGTTTCTTCGAGGAACCATGCATCAATACCTTCAAAGATCTCCCGACAATTGAGAGTTCTTCTGGAGATGAAATTACTCTTACAGACTTATCTTGTAACAATTACAACAAAAGTGACAAGATTATTGATTCTGATTCTAGATTAGAATCTCCTCCAACATACATGGAAGATTCAGATTCTTCCACATCCTACAGAACAAACAATAGTGTAGAGAGTGTTGAGAAAAAGGTCAAGTCCACCCCTCCAAAGAGATCCAGGTCAAAGAAAACGGGAGACAATAAGAAAGAACGACCTAAAAATGTTCCGAGATCTGCCCCACCACCGGTTGTTCTAAAGAAAAGGAGAATAGCTGCGAATGCGAGGGAAAGACGGAGGATGCAGAGTTTGAATCTTGCCTTTGACCGGTTGCGAGATGTCGTTCCGTCCATTGGGGAAGATAGGAAGTTATCCAAATATGAAACTTTGCAAATGGCCCAAACTTATATCACAGCTTTGTGTGAATTGCTACAAAGAAACTAGATACACAAAGAATGTGTATGAAAATGTCTGTGATATTTCATAATGATCTGAATGAACTAAGTGAGAGAAAAATTATTATTCTATAAATAGACTTGTGAAATTCTGAGACTGAGAACTTTGAAGGTGAGCTAAATCCTTAGAACTTGAATTATTTAAGCGTTTCATCAATGTGTTTAATATCTCCTTTTTTTAAAAGTTTTTCTTTACACTGCACTGGCGTTTTAAAATATATATTTTTTCTTACCTTGTGCATATTTCATAATGATATAAATTAACTAAGTTAGTGAAGAATCAGAAATTTATATAAAGAATGTAAAAATTCTAAGAATGAGAACTTTTAATGCGAGCTTAATTATTTAAGCGTCGTCTAATTAATTAAGCCTTTGAACTTAAATTATTTAAGCGTTGTATCATTGTGTTTAATATTTCCATTTTTTAAGAAGTTTTTCTTCACAATAGATTAAAATATATTTTTTTTTTTTACATTGTGTGCTAAATTGTTACAAAATTTTCTGTAGATTCTTCAGTTTTAAATGCCAATTGAGGCAAATCTTTAAATACATGAATAAATATAACAATATTATTTGTAGTTTATTCTGCTGTTTTCATGAAAATTATGAGAACAGCATAATTTCCTAACTTTTATGAAATTTATTACAATGAAAATAAATACATAAAACTAAAAATTTTACTGAGATATTTCAGATAATTTTTTTCAGAAAAAGAATATGGATTGTTTGAATTATAATGATAAATTTTTGAATAATTAATTATAACGAGGCATTCATACTATTTATTAAGATATAACAATATTTTAGTTTTTTCTAAATTTCTAAATAGTTCTGGTTAAAAATTATATAATTATTGCTGTTATTAAATGATATATTTAATTCCGATATTTTCCAGTAAATTAAACGCAATTTCGTGTGCAACATATTTAGAAACCAAATGGTGCGATTTAATGTTGTTAATGAATAATGTGATTAATTGTTAATGAATAGTTATTAGCAATATATATGTTTAATACACTTTACAAATAAGAATGTGTTTTTTTTTAAATATTAATTTTATTTCAATAATTTTTTTAATTTTCACAAACTACAACTTTACCAGTTTCTAATTTATTTTTTATTATTTAAATTTAATTCATATTTATTATGATGTGTGTAACTTGAACTTGATTATTAAATAATACGATAAAAAACTTTAACGTTTAAAAACTAAACGAAAATTCTTGATATTATATAACGGTTACTTTGTATATATTTGTTCCTTTTTATGAATTTTAATCATTGTTTTTAATTTTAATTGCAATTTTAAAACTTTTTGGAAGAATAAATAAGGTTACATAGTTAAATTTCAACCCGTTTAGGACATTGTTATGTATTATTTTGAACTTAAGGTGATTTCTATACCAGATGTTACTACTTTGTATTTTGCAATTTTGTATATATACCTTTGAAGAGTCATAATTTGTGAAAAAAAGTTGTAATAAAGTATTTTTGTAAAATTTTTTATATCCTTGTGTTTTATTTATATACTTGTTGCTATCATTGGAACGAACTACATAAATCTTAAATATTTTTCGAAGTGATTATACTTTTAAAACATCGTTTTATAAAAATTTAAAGCAGAATTTCCTTGCTTCATAGCATTCACAATCAAACTATTTAGTAAACTTTTAATAAATAAAACCATTTTCGTAATTTTTTCTGGTTATTTACGTGTGATTAAGATTTACTTAAAAAGTATTTCGAAAATCATTTTCACAGTATAATTATTAAATTTTCTTATAATCGGTTGTTGATTGACTTGGTAAAAAGTATACAAATAATATTTGTGTTTCTGTCCTGTAGAAGATTAGCTTAAAATAAGTAAGTATGCTGTTTGCTTATGGAATTTAGAATTCTTTTTCAGGAGTCAACAAAAAATATTTCAACTGTGAAACACACAACTTGTATGTGGTATAAAGTATGATTCTTTTCCTGTAGATTCATTGTTGTTTCCCATATAATTGTGTTGGAAAAATATCTAATTTATTCTGTATCAGCCAAACAAAATGCAAGGATTTTATTTTATTAAGCACTCATACAAGTGCAATTTAATATATATTATACTTATATTATA